TCAATCTGTCCCCAAAAAATGGTATAAAATTTATTTCAGTACAGCGTTGCATGACGGAATAAACGTCAGTCAAAGTACCGCAGCGCTGAAAAATGGCCTGGCCAGGAAGAGGGTCTAAACACCTGGTCTTGAAGTGGTTAAAGCCCAAACCATTTTTAAAATTATATTCCAACACACCTTTCCATTAATTTAGTCTACTTCTACAGCACAGATAGATCGCACAGTGCTTTATAGAAGCTGAAAATGTTATGTTCCTACCACACTCACACACATAACTAGGATCAATTTGCCAGAAAGTCAATTACCCAACAAGTATGTTTTTCTTGACTTTGGGAAGAAACCTAAGCAACTAGAAGAATTCCACACAAACAAGCAGAAAGCACGAGCTCCACGCAAAGTGCCCCAAGTGGGATTTTGAACCCGTGTCCTACAGCTGCAAGTTTATAAAACATATAGATGTACAAAATACACACACAGTTTATTCATAGTCAATCATGACAGCAACCCCCTAGCCCCTAAGTGTAAATTCCATATATGCCTACAAGCATTAAATAGGTGTTGGTAAATGAATTCATGGTTGGTATGTGGATCTTTCATAGAAATAAATGGACAATGCACTATATAGAAGGTAGATGGGAAGCTCAACTCACAGCTATGATCTGGTTGCTGAAGAGGAGCTGCCCTTATTCTTTTTGCATCTTTGGGACGATGTTAACCTCTTGGTATATGTGCCTTTTTGATAGGTCTACTCTAGTCTATCTAAATTGGGATGTACATTATATCCATAAATAAATCAAGAGTTCACAATGTAAAGAGGTATCTTGACGCTGGCATGTTGCTATACCATATATTTGGCAATTAGGTCTCTGTTTTGATCAAAATATTTAAACATCACTGGCTGCATATCGTATTATGCATATAGTTTTAGCACCTTTATGCTAAATACAGGTAATATGCTTGAGGATGGGCTTGCACCGGAAGATTAGTATCCAAGATCTGCTCAAATGTGTCACAAAAAAATTGCCCACATGAAAAGAGGCATCACTGCTTTTGTCCTGGCTATTATTTTGCATTTAAGCGCTCAAATCCTAGGTGATAAAAAGTTAAACTCATAAATCTTTGCAGTAAACCGTTAATTGTTATTGCAAAGATTGATTGCAGAGAGATTTAAAAAGTTAAACTTTGAATGGAAGAGAAATGGAAAACATGTAGAAGGAAACTTAGGAGAGAAGAAAGAAATTAAAAGGAGAACTATGAGGCGAGTGATTTTCACTCAGCCTCATAATCTAAGCCGACCTGTGACAATGAAACTGTCACAGGTTGGCTCAGTAGATAGGGAAGTGAGCGAACACATAACGTCGCTCGCTCACTTCTTGATCTATCCCTGCAGAGAGCCGTAACTTTCACTCACGGCTCCCCGCAGGGATTCCCCCCCCTCCCCTGTCCGATCATCCAACGCTGACTGGCTCAACGGACTGGGGAGGGGGCGGGCACAGCTGGCTCTTCCTCTGGATAGGCAAAGCCAGCTGTATTGTCGGGATCCGTTCCGGCTAGGGCGTCTCAGTACAGTGCGAGCTGTAGCTCGCGGTATACTGAGCTTTGGGTCACGGGAGAACGCTAGCTTGTGTTCTCCCGTGACCCTAAGGAGAAATATGGGGAAAAGCCCTGACCCCATAGTTCTCCTTTAAGGAAGAGGGAAGGAAGCTGAATTAAAACATGGATCACACTTTTTCTTCAGCTCTTTGCTTTTTTTCTGATTCACTATTTATAAAGTAAACAAAAAGGAATAATAGTTGAGCGAGCCATAAAAGTATAGATGTTCTCTCGTCAGTAGATGGCTGAATGGTAGAAAATCCCCTTGATTCCCCTTATCCACGATAAACTGCATGGTTGGAGGATTTCTCCCCTGATGAATGTTATATTCAAACAGCTGTGGCACCGCTGGCGGCCTGGTTACCCAAACAATGACTGCACCTGATAGGATGTAGTCACTGTATGGCTGAAAATTTTCCACCAGGCTCAATTTTTAACTTGACTTTTGTTGATGGGTGGTGCTGACAGAGCCAACTACAACTTAAATTTGGTCTGATTTAGCAGGATTTGGGCACAATTAGAGCAGTGTATTGCTAGCTTTAAAATGGAGCAGGAGAAGAATAAATTAGACCTTTCCACTGGAAACGCAAGTCTTTTCCCTTTGCCCTTCAGTAGCAAACATTTCAGGTATTTTTTACAAATATCACCCACAATGACTTATGAGTCATTAAGTAAGGAACGCATTTACTGTATATAATAGGTTTTATGCTTAAAAAAAACAAAACCTTAGCAGTTAGAGAATGTTAACATTTACAAGTTATATGTAATCGGCACAACTACTGCAAAGAGTTGTAATGTTTTTTCATAGGGATATAAAGAGCACTACACCTTCTAAAAAAAAAAAAAATTTTCACTTTTACAAGATGCTTTTAATTTCTTATTGATTTTAATTAAATGAAAAACATCTAACCTTAAACATATCTTAATACAGCACACAGTATAAATCAGTGGATTGTATTCCACAGAGCTCTGAAGAATGATTTAATTGTGAAGGATGATTTAATTTTGAAGTAGAATATAATGTGGTTTGCTTTGTTTCCCACACTGTCTCTGCCTGCTTTTGGAATGCGTGTATGATTTTGTCTGATTTTTGTCTGTGTGCATGCTCCTGCCAGCCTCTTATCTCATGGGGAAAGCCATTAGGGTGTGTCTACTGCAGAGGCTGGTTGTGAAACAGAGGGCATTCAGCATTATATAAGGGATTTAAGCAACTCTGCTGTTCATTACAGATAGAGGACAAGTATTCATTGTTTTGGAGAACCTGTAAAGGAAGAAATACTGGTTACCTACAACACTGAAGCAATTGTTTTCCAATACCCACTTGAAGCTGGCACCAAGGACTTCCTTATGCTAAGCATCTTGACATCTTGTGAACTAGGACTGGTCCACACACCAAGGTAGGGTGTTTCCATCCCTTACATCAATAGATACTATTATGAACCACTTCTAAACAAGTTATCTCACATTTCCCTGAATACATGCACTGTTTAATAGAACCTACCCCTCCTCAAAATATTCTTAGTAACCGCCATTTATTTCTGGTATTCCGTAAATCAGTGCTGGCTATCAAATAAAAAAACAACTTTAAAATTGTACTGTGTTAAACATTAACCATACAGCATCCTTTACAAACCAAAAGCAAGAACAAACAATACAGGTTGGTAGTAGCCATTGTGCATATATATCTAGATCTCTCATGCTGAAGGGCTCCAGGGATTGTGTCTGATATGGAGGAAAATTTGTTTTGTCACAATCTTAAAAAGTCCCGTTCCAAGTCATGGAAGATTTGTAGAGCTTTGAGCAGGAAAGGCCTCAATTCCTAGGTTCTACTTAACTCGCAGTCAGACCTCATTAAATCTCAGATGTCCACAGGCCATTTATATGTGAGCTGACTAATGTTCAGTACTCTGAATTTCTCTGCTGTGACAGCCTGCTGCTGGGTGAAAAAGCTGAGTGCTGACAGTACGCTAAATGTACAAATGCTGTTTGTTTTTGGGAACCCATAAAAGGGGTACACAATCAGGGGCAGACAGGAGTTTAGTTAGTGGCTCAGACAGTAAAATCTTTTTCTTGGAGTACAGTAAAAGGACAAGGGCTAACTTATATGCAGATACCTTCAGGTAATTGGACAGAACTGTGTTCCAATTATATCTATATATCTCCTCACTCCCAGCAATCCTCAGTTTTGTTTTTTCAACCCAGATACAGAGGGGAGAATACTATGTACTGTACTCCAAGAAAATTATTTTACAGGTAGGTAATAAACCCAGTTTCTTTGGATCAAGGAAGGACATGTACTAACCTCCTCCCGTGACCCAAAGCTTAGGATATCGTGGGCTATTGCCCGCGATATACTGAGCGCCGCAGCAGGGACGGATCCCGACAATACTGTAGAGATCCACCCAGCTGCTTGAGTGGCAGCTGGCTCTGTCTATCTAGAGGCAGAACCAGCTGTGCCCGCCCCTTCCCCCATTCGTTCCTCCACTCAGCGCTGGAGGATCGGGGGGAATCCCTGCAGGAGACGATCGGGAAGTGAGCAGATCGGTGCATGTTTTTGCTCACTTCCTAATCGATTGAGCCGACGTGCGATAGCTTCTTTGTCACAGGTCGGCTCCAACTATGAGGATGAGGGAAAATCACTCACCTCATAGTTCTACTTTAAGCCCTCCTGTGTCTCAGGATCAAAGGCTGCAAGTACCTGGAGCAGTGCGGAAAGCTGTGTCTGGAAGCACGCAGCCAAAACAGACAAGCTGAGTCATGCAACAGGTGCATGGGCAGCGCATAGACTTTCCAAGAGCCCAGCATGTATGAGCAAGATTACCCATAGCAACAGGGAAAAAGGTACCAACACAAACAAGGCCACCTCACTGGTGCGTACAAAATAAAGTGTTGGAGCAAAAAAAAAAAAAACACAACTACGGATTTAAAGTGCCGCAACCTCTCTGCATCCTGCATCCCCAAAAACATGGAGATAAAACCACAAAGAGGCTCCACATGGCACAATAGGGCAGTGCAGTCAATCTCTGGGACCCAGTGAGCACCTAACAGGATCCAGTGCCTGGAGCAACATTAAAGAAGCCTCCCTGTCTTCCATATGGCGGTATCCAGGTCCGGTCTCAGAGGCTCGATGACAAGAGGCACCAAATCAAGAAGCTGCAAGAGAATAGCCACAGTAGCTAAAGTGCAGCTAGAAGAAATTTAGAGGAAATTAGAGGAAGAGGGATTTCACAGCCGATTAGTTTTCCAGTGTCCAATCACCTAAAGATATCTGTATATGACTCTGCTGTCTAGGAATCAGCCTGTGTCCTGCATGATTAATATTTGTACAGTTTTACATTAGGCATGTCTACAACAGTTAAATACAAATGGATTTTTTTTTCTTTAAGTATTTAAATATATTTTCTAACCTCTGCGAGGACTCTCATGGTTGAAGAGAATACCATTGACTGCAAACAGGTTATAAGCTTCCCTAAAATTAACCACAATCCAGTAAGCGTACAGTTTTGCTGCACCTGAAAGACAAAAAACCAAGTAAAACATTTAAAGGTTTTTGTTTTTAAGTGTAATTCCACTTTTGCAGGCGGTGCCAAAAACATGTATACACATTTTAAGATATGATATCTATATTACTTATCGAAGTTAAATTGAATTACGGTAGCAATGTGTAGTATGACGTTCATTCACATGATGCGTTAATCAAATGAATGCTAGCATTACAATGTGACAGACAGGACAGTCAAAGAAAATGACGGAAGCACAGTTGTCGCTTGAGGAGCGCAAGTTCGTTTTAAAGTGGTATCTGAAATTAGAGAATGTTGTGGAAGTACGGCAATGCAGGAGTGAAAATGCAACAGAACCTCCAACACCTCTAACAATTGTACGCATTTGTGATAAGTTTGAGATGCATGTTACTCTGTGTGATGTGCACAAGGGACGACCCAGGAGTCCTCGCGTCAAAGTCCTGCTTTGTCTGCTATGGTGTTGGAACTGTTTACACGCTCACCACATAAGCCTACCAAGCAATGTGCACTTGGGACAGGAGTTAGCAGAACAAGCATACAATGCATTCTTAAAAAAGCAAAATGGAAAGTTTTATCCCAAGATTACATGCACTCAAGAGGACCCTGATCGAATACAAGGACACTTTGGTCAACGTTCCTCAAGCAATAGTTCGCCATAATCAGAAGTGTCTGGACGCTGATGGTAACCACTTTGAACACCTGTTGTAATTGCAGAAGTCAAAACGGCACTTTATTCGTCTTCTGTTATCGGTATATATTGAGCATTACAATTTTAAACAGTTTTTTCCTCTCTTAAAATGTGTATACTTTTTTGGGAGGAAAAAAATATTGATATATACACATACACACATATATATATATATATATATATTAGGGCTGTGCAAATTCACAATTAATTTCTCGATTAATCGTTAATCTTTTTGATCGATTCAATTTTTTTTGATCGCTAATGAAAATACTCACCTCTACGCCAGTTTCTTGTGAGCAGGAATATACACAGGATTGCAAGCTATTCTGAAGAATTTCAGAAGGACAGAGCGAGTTACCCCTCATTAAAGATGAACTCTGGGATGTCTAAATAGAAGCATATGTATTCTTACTTAAATAATGGCGTGCTGTGTGTATTTTCTCTGGATTTTTCCTTTGTGCAGGAGTTTACTATAATGAAAACCTAACACTGCTGCTCCATTTACTTGTGCAGGGTGACTGGTCTTGTTTCCACACACCTATAATTTTCTGAAGGCAGCCTATGGTGTCCCTCCCACAGCTATGCTCACTGCTCAGGCTGTAGAACACCAATTATGTTAAAGATAACTGAGTTTACCAAGGCATTTGGTGCACACAAGATAGATTTATATCCTTTGTGACTATTGAAGAGTATATTTAAAAGAAAGTTTTTGTGCCCGGGGTTCAACTTTAACATACAATGCAGAACACACGCTTTTATATCTTTAAAGCATTGGTTAGGACAGGACAGTGTTTAAATCTAATTTACAATGGATAAATGAGACCGGTCAGCACAGTACAGGCAGAGTTAATTATATAAACCATTAACTCCACAGTCTCTTGGCATTACATAGGGGGGAAGCTAGGTAGGATTTTCAAATAAAACGCACCAAAAAGGTAAACCACAATTTTTTTTTTAAAGCTATGGGAACAGGAACATATAACAAATATAAACTAGGTGTTATTCCTATTTGGCTGCAAATGTAAAAACACTTTAAAATTAGAATACATCTACTTGGCAACTTATAAATTAAATAAAATCCTACTTTTGTAGGGGTAATACTCTTTAGACTTGAGAACTATTCCAAGTGCTATTAACATCCAAGCTGGTGACATTGCAATTTATATGAAGAAAAAACTTTAAGTTACATATATGCAAAAAGAATATAAGAGGTAAGACGCTGTAAAGATGACATACAGTACACAGCTTGTGCAATAATCTAAGCTCCGTTAACCTTTTGGTATATGCCCTGTGTAATCTTCCCACTTATGGCAGAACATATACACTAACCATATGGAGATCGAGGGTAAAATGGTGTTGTTTCCTTCTGGGGGATTTCCTGCACTTTTCCATACAGTTCACTGGTTGAGGCTTGATAGAACTTTACCGACTCAATAAGGCCACAGGTCTTCACTGCATCAAGAAGGCGCAAAGTACCTACACCATCAACATCTGCAGTGTATTCTGCCAGGTCAAAGGAAATCTGAAAGATGAAGACTCATTAGCATATGGATGACATAATGAACCACAAAAATAAAAAGTGCAATGCTTTTGTTTTATTACCCAATCTACCAAAATAAAGTGCATTTTGGACGTAATAAAGCAAAAAAAAAAAAAATATAATCAAATCACAAAAATACTATAAATAATATTAAACAATAAACTTACAGATCTACAAACAGTGCTCAACATTAAGAAAATTACACCATATAGAAAATTAGATATGCAACACTACTGGTCCCAATAGGCAAGAATGATCTATGCCAAACTCTGACATTTAATTCCTGAAGCAAAAGGCAAACAAAATAAAAAGAGCTTGCAAGTGGAGCCAGCCAGGAAATATGCATGACTGTCATTCAAAAATGGCTAACTCATTCTCATGAGGTTGTCTCCCCCACCCAAAATGTCAAAACAGCTCATTACACGTGTGTTCGTGTGGCATCACATAGATACACCTATGTACATGCCCTTGTGCAGGAAGATTCGAGAAAGCCTTACCTGTCTGAAAGTCAGTTGCAGCTAGCACGTACAAGGAAACCTACTGCATAGGTATGCTACAGCACTTCTGAATGATTAAGACAACCAGTGCTCCTATGATTTGTGATTAAAATCCACAAACTGTATTTAGCCAAGTTGCTCAAAACTTGCTGCACACATTTTATAGAAGTGGAAGCCCATATGTACAAGGCCTTAGAAAGCAGGGAAAGGCTCCAACATATCTAGTTGCTTCCTGCAAGCAATTTCTGGATTTAAGAAAAAGCTTAAAAGTGACCTTAAACCCTCAGATTTTTTGACATAACAATACTGTAATGTGTGCCTTACTGTAATCCATGATAGTTTCCCTTCTCTTTGCTGCTCTTCCTTATAAATGTGTATCTCTTCTCAAGCTGGGGGAGAACTTCCCTTTGCAGCTGAGTGCCTCTTCCTGTAGTGCTGGCTCAGGTTGTGAACCTACACACAGACACCATGTATCCATTTCAGAGACAATGCAGTCTGCTGCAAAACAGAAGTTCTGTCCAGCATGAGAAGAGATATGGATTTAAAAAGGAAGAGCAGCAAAGAGAAGGGAGACAACCATGGATTACAGTAAGGCACATATTACAGTATTGTTTTATGTTAAAAAATCTGAGGGTTTAATGTCACTTTAAGTGAAACCATTGTTAATAAAAGATCTGGAAGAAAGAACAAGCTGACAGAACTGCTTGTAGACTGGTCACATATGCAAAGCAAAACTTTACTGTGAAGGATCAGAAGATTCAACTGTCATAGCTGTGGTGGATATACTGGATGCCATGGCTTGCATGTGATGTGATTAGCATGCTAAAAGTCACAAAAATGAAAATGTGCCATATTAGTGCAAAAGTCAATATATGATGTATACAGCACAACACTAATGAAGGTCAGGAGCATTTTGAAACCAAATCATGTGACATTCATGGCTACAATCCCCAAAGCAAGTTTTGTAGTAAAATAAATGCATTCAAAGTAAAAAAACATCAAAAACAGTTAGGCGGGTAGACAGTAGAATAGATTTTACCAAGACATAACCACATGGGCAATTTTAATACTGCTTTGTTGAATGATTGACCAACTTGTTGACAACCATTTAATTTGCAAAACATTAAAATGTGCCCATACATAAAGAAGAAAAGCTGGCCGCACAACCGCAGAACCCAAAAAGCTGGTGGCAGAACCCAAGACAGTAGAACATACTAGCAGGTACAGTTTGGTAGAAGACTTAGCCCTTTCTTATTGTACATGCACAGTGAAGTGTACAGTCTTGGCATATGTACCAGGTACAGTAAACATTCAATCGTGTGCAGTGGAATTTCAAAATGTATGACTAAATGTTTAACTTAAACAGAGGTTATGTCACTGCACTAGGGTCCACCATTCTGCCTTGGCTCAAAACCACCAGTCCTTTAAATTTATCCACTGTCCAGACCTACCCCTAGAGTTTTGCCTTGGAGGGAATAAAATAGCTTCATTTAAGTATTCATAGCAAAAAAGTACTGATTTTAATATGTTAAAAAAATCATAGCACAAAAATATCAGCCAAAACTAATCAAGGGATTCTACAACTACACTTAAACACTGTGGCTCATCTGAACCTAGCTAAGAAAAAAACTATTTCATAGCGAGCACGTTTCCATTTTGTATCTAAAATAAAAGATCACAAGAAATTATTTGAACAAAGGGTCAAGGATTCATATGAAGCATTGCTACACACGTGATTACGCGCTAAAATGTACTGCTGTGCTAGAGTTTGTAAGGGGAACACTACACTGAAGAAAAAAATATAGGGAGTGCATTTATCTTTATAAAAGAGTATTTCATACTCCTTTATATGTGTCATGTGAATCTGTGACCAAGAAAAAACTGTGGATATTGTTCGAAGCATATACAGTGTGTAAATATATATATATATATATATATATATATACATACATACATACATACATACACGAGATATATATGTGTTGGGACCCATAACATCTACTACATCATAGAAGTGATTACACAAGGGTACGCGTTTTATAGTCAAACAACCGTGCACACTGCCAAAGTTTTGTATAGAAGCCCCCTTAAATTCCTAAGTTTATTCATATGTCACAAGGGCTCAATTTACTAAGCTTTAAAAGGAGAACTATGAGGTGAGTGCTTTTCACTCACCTCATAGTTCTAGCCGACCTGTGACAATGAGACTGTCACAGGTCGGCTCAGTAGATTGGGAAGTGAGCGGACACATACCGGCGTTGGCTCACCTCTCGATCCTGTCACGGCTCTCTGCCGTGACAAGGGAGGGGCTGGATTCCCCCCTCCCCGCTCCGATCCGCCAGCGCTGACTGGCGGAACGGACGGGGGAGGGAGCGGGTACAGCTGGCTCTGCCTCTAGATAGGCAGCGCCAGCTGTCAGTCACGCAGCTGGGCGGATCCCGGCACAATTGTCGGGATCCGCTTCAGCGTCTCAGTATACCGCGAGCAGCAGCTCGCGGTATACTGAGCCTAGGGTGACAGGAGGACGCTAGTTTGTGTCCTCCCGTTACCCTAAGGAGAACTATGGGGAAAATACTTAACCCCATAGTTCTCCTTTAACACCAGCCTAGTCATGATCGTCAGCCACATGACTTTAATTTTCAAATGTCATTAAACACACTTATTCTGGTGTGTTAGCCTTGTGAATTGAGCATTATGCTACATCCTGAATCGAAAATATTGGTGGCAGCTGGATGAGTATGTCAGATACAAAAAAGGTATGTGGTCGCACCCCATAAAGCCAAAAGCACAGATATAGTTAATTCCAAATTCATTCTTTGTACTGCAGACTGGCATTTCTCTGTTATGAGCCAAGTAGCCCATTATCTCCTTGTGTTGTGGTCAGTTAATTGTGCGTCATTGAGTTTCTACCTTTAGAAAGTGCAACAACGTTATAGACTCAACTATGCTCAGACCTACTCTTCTTCATACCCTTTCCAAAGTCTCTCCGGTCATGCTTCAAGCCCATACTAGGTTATCTGTCTCTATTTAAATCAAAATGCAGAGGTGAACTAAATCACAGGTTTACATTTACATTAGGTTCAAGGCTGCAGCAATGACAGGGGTTCAACTTTTCTGGTCTGTGGGTACACAGACAAAAATGACAATTGGGAAACATTTTAAAGGAAAAAAGTGCCACCTTTCCAACAGTAAGAAACAGAAGTTACCACAGTAATATTTGATGCCGCTATAATACAGATTAGTAAGTACTATCTGTAGAGCACATGAAAGTCAAAGTTCTAAAACGAAATTACTGTTCATTTGTGTTAATACATTGTGGTGCGCTGCAGTGCATGTGTTGGGGTGCCCCTTAAAATGAATGCCAACGCATAACGTGCATTACCATGTGTTGCTGCAACGCAAAGATATTAGTGGGCCCTTAAAGCTTAATGTCTGCTTTGGGATTGGGGTTTATGCAATACTCTGAGGATGATGTGCCAATTTTATTCTCAACAGAATGGCTGCAGAACTGATTAATGAAAAAGAAATTGAAGATGACTCTCTAACACTGAAATAAATTTCCTTTGATCTTTATGCCCCTGAACTTTACAAACTGAAACGTAAAGCCAAATGCCTCTTCAGTCCTGCAATGCCATCTTCATTGCAAAAAGGAGTACTGCACGGCTAGGATCCTATTAGGTCAGAATGCCAAAAAAAAACTTTTCATTCTCAGAATCAATTTCGTTTTCTTTTTAAAATACATTTGACCTGCAGACAGGGCACCTTTGCCTTAATTATGATCAATTTACATTGCAAGCTGGATTGTTCATTAATATATGTGCCCTTTTTCCTGTTGAAACAAAAGTAAACACATACATACACACACACACACACACACACACACACACACACACACACACACACACGTCTGTCTTACACAAATGACTGCCAAGTTAGCTTGTTCAAATGACTACTGGCCTTTGCATGATCCACACTGACTAAAAAAAAAGATACCTGCATAATTATTAAGTAAATGGAATCAAAAGCTGGATGCATGATAGCTGCCAAGTATGCATGCATGGGGTTGCTGTAAAGCCATTTCTATTGCCCTTCACAAAAAAAACAAAACATAGCAGTAGTATAGGACCTAGTCATCAGTGGGAAAGGTATAACAGCTTAACTATAACTCCAGGCAGACATAAAAACACAAATTATTGTCATGTTTAAATGTATTTTTATAAATGCAAGCAGGCCAAGTACTTGAATTTGACTAGGCAGCAGCCTCTAGCCGTCTACTGAACAGTCTGAAAAGCAGAACTCAAAAATGGGGAGGGAGAAGCAACACAAGGAGCAAATTAGATGTGCTGTTGTGCAAGAAACATCCCCATAGGAGAAAGCAGACTGAGATGAACTCACCAATGTGCTGATTCTCCTTTCACAGTAACTACAGGGTGGCGGTGGGCAGTAGACCAGTAAGTGAAAGTGAAATCAGGCCTCCCCATCCTG